GTATATTTTGGGGCTAGGATGGAATGTGGCCTCTGTTTTGGGCATGTTGATTTGGGGAGTCTTTGGAAATTGCATTAATTGATTTTTAAACAATTCTTTCCACAAAGATTTATTAACATCCTTACTTGCCCATGTATCAAGAACACAGACATAAGAAATAATCTATTCTCAAAATGCTTAGAGACTCTTGGAGACAGAGATAATGCAATAATTATAATATGTGCTTAAAACTGCTATGATAGCAGCAGTCGCAGGTTTTGATGGGGAACTTGGGAGTTTTGATCACCTGATGGAGACTGAAGACGGGAATGGGGAGGAGAGATCAGGAGTGATAGGAAAGAATTCCTATGAGATTGCCTCACAGAATTCAAGTTTTTTTTTTCTTTCTGGATTTTAATCTTTTAAATATCTAACATTATTGCTTTAGGACATGTTTTCCCTGAACCAGGAACAGAATGCTAATTACATAAAAATATACACATAGAAAAAGTAGTTCTCCATTTTCCCAGGGAAAAAACAGTAACTTCTAGAATACTCAAGTGTTTTGTTTTAATTATAAAGTCTTGGTCATCTCATTTATTAGCTCTGTAACATACATATTTAAATTAAACATTATTAGACAACCGTTACAACTTATAAATGTAAGGTGCCATTACTGAGTAAACAGAGTCTCCTGTGAGTGGATGTGTCCCTTCACCCACCCACTAACAAGGCAGTAATATGGTTAGTTTAATTTTATGAGTACATGATCCATCGCTGCAAACACTAATTCTCGGCTGCACCCTGTGCTTATCTGTGCAAGTGTATGAGCTGGTTAGATCACATGGGCAGCCTCTCTAACTTCAACAGCGAGATGAGCTAGGCTTGGGCTTTCGGTGCAGACTAATCGTGTCTGTCTGAATCAAGTGATCTGACCTATACTCGGTAGCAAGCACTCTTCGAACTGCTTCCTCAAAGGCCGCTGTGACATTCGTGGCATCTTTTGCGCTAGTTTCAAAGTAAGGATGGTCGCCGTTGTCCCTGCACCAGGCTTGAGCTTCTTCTGCAGACACCTGCCACTCGCTGCTGTCAACCTTGTTACCCAAAATCACAAAAGGAAAGCTTTCGGGCTTTTTCACATCCGCATAATATATGAATTTTTTCTTCCAGTTACTCAAGTTCTGGAAGCTTTGAGAATCATCGACGCTAAAAGTAAGCAGGTAACAGTCAGAACTTCTGTAAAATGGCGTCCTCAGGCTTCTGAATCACTCTTGACCGGCCGTGTCCCAAATCTGTATGGTAACAAAATGTCCATCCACCTCCAAATCTTTGTTTAAGAATTCCACACCTATTGTATGGAAGAGCTGGGTGTCCAACTTATTAGACACATATCTGTTCATTAGAGAACTCTTCCCAACTCCACCATCTCCAAGGAGAATTACTTTAAAAAGCAGTGATTTTCCTGCCATTTTTAATCTCAAGATCTCTGATTTCAGAACCCTTAATTGTTCAGTTCAAATATCATCATTATCTCTAGGGCTGTCGGGAAGATCCACTTGGGCACGGACCGCAGGAAAAGCCGTTCACCACTGTGCCAGGCTCATTATAGGAGTGCAGGGAGTTTCTCGCGGCCACACGGAGGAAGCCCGGGAGCTCCGGGCCAGCCCATCCAGGTGCAGTGAGGAAAGAGAGAAGTTCGAGGACCCGGCGCGCAGGAGGCGTCGGCGGCACTGCCCGGGTCCGACTGCAGTTGCTCCCGTCCAGCACCGAGGGAACAACGTGGCGACGGGGCAGGGCCCTTAAGTGTTGTTTTGAAGTATGAGTTAAACAGATTGTGGGAAGAGGGATAGAGGGGGAAACATTTCAGGCAGGAATTTTGCTTAGATGATGCCTTGGGAGTGTGAGGAACTAACCTGTGTATAGGGAGCACTGCTTGTGGTTTAGTGTTAACTTGTAGGCACTATGTAAGTGGGGATTGGTAGGGTCCTGCAGATCATACGTCTCTTGATTTTTATGTTGAAGACAGTCATGTTGGTAGTGTCAGGAAGCTAGTGAAGGATTTTAAGTAGGGGAATGGCTTGATCAAATTTGATGCCCAGCAGCCAGTTAGAATTATGTTCTAGAATTTCAGAAATGCAGTTGGGGGGTAGGGTATAAATTTAACTAGCGGTCACAATAATGGATAAAGTGCTTCCTGTTTAGATGTGGAGACAGGTAAATAAAACTGACATCACAGTATGCAAAGTGTTGTAGTATGCAGTGCTATGTATTGAGTATAGAGGAGGAAGTGATTTGGGACTTCACTTTTAACAGTCATAGGTATATGGGTGGTATTTGCAACTGAGAATATTGATGATCTTTTCTAAGGAAATAATATAAAGCAGAGATGAAAGAACTGATGGTAGAATTCCAGAAGAAAGCAGCCTTCATAGGATAATGGTTAAAGAAGAATCATCTAAAGCTATGATGTTAGCACTGTGGGTTACAACTGATTTGTAGGTTGCAAATCAACAATAGTGGATGGGAAATTAATATGGTTGGCTATAGACAGAATTTTAAAAACATGGATTAAGAGAGAAAGAAAATATCAGGGTGTATGAAGTAAAGGTAATTATTATTTTGTGGCATTTTGTTCAGATGTGTGTATTCATGCATGTGTATATTGGGTAAAGTGTATTTCTTATTAAGAGTTGTAATCACAAACTTTTGAAAAACAATAAAAGACACTAAGGAAGAGCAGTTGGAAATAATTAAATCACTTTTGTTCTTCACTACTCTGATGGCAAGGAAAAGAAATGGACCCAGAGCAAGTGCAATAGAAAGGAGATTTTCTCTTTATGTGCAGGTGGTCACCCCAGGCCACCTTTGTCACAGCAATTATGTAGGAAGAGAAATACAAAGAAATAAGGGGAAAGGACTTGCAAGATACAGAACTCAAAGACAGAGAGGGAGAGGAAGAAATAGAGAATATGAATGGGAAATATGGGTGAGAAAGAATAAACCCCTATGGAAGCGTGACTTTCAGCTTAACCCTACTGTGTGATGGCAAAAGCTCCATACCCTAGCACCATGGCCCAACAAAGCCCCTTGGATTTATCCTGCCATATCAGCTCAGTTCCTTATTAGGGGTAGAGCCAGAGGAGGAACCTGGGGAAAGGGTACAAAACTACCTCTAGTTAAAGTTGTGATTTAGTAATATCAATAATAGACGTTATTAAGAGCTCAACTATGGGCTAAGAACTATTCTAAGCACTTTAAATGCATGATCTCACCGAATAAGTTAATATTTGTAAAGCCCTTAGAACAATGTCTTGCACACGGTAAGTACTCGGCAAATATTGGCTATTATTATTATTTAATTATTAATTAGAGAATAGTTACTAAATATCACCATTTTGCTAGTAAGGAAATTGGAGTATAATAAAGTTAAGTAACTTAAGATTTTATAGTTATAAAGAAATAGAATCATGCACTTTTGAGTTGGAGGTGAGAGACTGACTAGTATAGGTGCATGAAGTTATATGATGACTGGTGCTTGAAATATGATGGTAGAGAGGAGACAAGATGGGCCATAAGTGAAAGATATTATGAAAAGAAAATCCCTTTATCTTGGTGACTGGTTGGATATGAAGTAAAAAGATAAATTAAGATTTTAAGTTGGTTGACTGGGAAAATGGTAAATAGGATGTAAGAAAATAAGGAAGAAAATTGTTTTGGTAGGAAATGATAACAAATTCCATTTAATCATGTTGAATTTTATGTCACATAGTCAAGAGATGATTAGCAGGGAATTCAAAACTAAAGTTAGAGATATTTAGGCATTATCACATAAAGGAGCTGCAGAAGCTGTAGAAGGGTTTGAGACCCCCAAGGATAACCAATAATTTTTGGCCACAAAAAATCTGGGGAGTCAAAAATAAGATCGTGATAATAGTCCCCATGCAAAATTTCCACAGCTTTGCCCACATCTGCTTTGTAGAACCTACAAGTAATACCAGGAATCTTTAAAAAAGAGTATGTCATACTGCTCCAGGCATGGGCTATTGTCTGGCATGCACTGTTTTCCTCGCTCCTGCCCTGGTTGCTGTGGCTGTGTCTCCTCTTGCGGCCACCATCTGTGAAGGTGGAGCGACTCAGCTGTGGTTTGGTACCTTTTCCAGCACCGCAGAAATTGCTGTTTCCCCTATGACGTTCTCAGAGACCCTGGAGGGTCAATGGTGATAAAGCTTTCCTACTTTTTCTCATTCTTTTGTCCGCCATCAGGTTTCAGACTTGATATCCATTGGCCTTTTCTGCACCCCTGTCCAGGTGACAGGTATGTTGGTTTTATGGCTCCTCAGTCAGTTTTTTATGCCTAGATGATTCCTGACCTTCAGATGAATTCTTACACGAAATGTTTCTCAGTTTTTGCCCCATCAATCCTTAGGCATATCTAGACTTGTCTGAATCCTAAGGTGAAGGTTACTTATTAGGCTTAAACTGGAGCCAGGACCCTTGTTGCATGCTCTCTGGAGAAAAGAGAGGTCAAATTGGCAAATTTCCATATTTTCCAAGATTATCCCATCACTTGTTTCTTCTGGTGTCTTTACTTCTTCATATGGGTGTTTTCCTGGTTGATTTGAGATTATTTCTTCTTTTCTCCAGATGGAACGATAATGTGTACTTACTGTGGAATTAGATCCTATCCAAATATTTTGTTGGGAGGTTTGATTCACTTTTTCCTTTTAATTCTTCTTATAGGTTTCCATGCTCTTTGTTGGAGTTTAGTAAAGATTTGAATATCTAGCACGTTTTCCTTCCAAATAAGTATTGGTAATGTATTTTTTTTCTGGTTCTCTGTGAAGAATCCCAATGAGCCTTTTTGAAAACTCATCATTTGCAGTTATTTTAGAACAGCAATTTGTTGAAAGCTACCATATTAGAAATGTTTTGTTGCACTGCACTACAGCTATGAAGTGCAAGGAACCATGAAGAATGAAAAATACAAATGATAGATGTGTCTCTTTCATCTTATTTTTTAGCCTTCTTTGAATCCTGGGGGGAGCCAGTCATCTGATGTGGTGCTTTTGAACCACTGGAAAGTGAGGAATTTTGAAGTACAACGTGGTGACATTGTGTCATTAGTGTAAGTAAATCAGAAACATACTATATTCATATATAAGATTATTTATAATTATCTGATTTAACTAGTAATTCACTGTTTATACCATACTGTCAATTATTAAATTAATAGGTCCATTTAAAATATTGATATAATGCATTTTTCAAAGTCAATTTTGAAATGCAACAGTGCTATAAGAAAGGATTTTTCTTTTATACTTAAAATATATCAGTTGACTGACATACCTGGATTTGGCAGAACGTGTTTAATGAAATGTTGATTAGAAATTATTATATTGATGATCTAGAGTACATGAACTTGGTATTTGGGTAATGTTGAAATTCCACATTTTGGAAGCAACTCAAGTTACTCTCATGGTTTATTAGCTTGTGTAGCTACAAAATATTTCTAGACGATGATAATTGTGACATGAAATTCAGTGGCATTTATATATATATATCGGTAATTTAACTGAAAAAAGGAAGTTTGGAAGACTAGTAGACTGGAGGCTTTTGTTTGGGACCAAAAGGTGGCACTGTTTCTCTGTTAAAGTACTAAGACTGGTCCGGAACAAAAATTTCATAGTGTAGAAAAGGAATGTCAAAATGTACATAACTGACACAGTGATAGTCCTAGTACATGCTTGAGATTTGTTTGTTTACTTTAAAAGTAAATTTACATTGAGAAGACTGCAACAGAACTTGCCTAATTTCTGCTGGTTTCAGCTACTTATAAAAATGTTTTAATATGATTCCCTGTTATGCCAGTTAGTGCTTTGGGGTGGCAGTTAATGTAGCAATTACTGTTACTTGTTTAGTGATAGTAAAGTCCTCCTGTTTGGTGAAGACTTTCAACTTATAATTCTGATTCTTGAATTGGAATGATTGTTTTTTGTTGGGTGATAATTTATAATTGGTAAAAGCAAAACGTATCTACTAGTTCATACTTACCTTTGGCTAGTACTTTGTGCAAATAGATATTTTCTAAATGTGTCTCAGTCAAACCTGTTCTACCAAGATTTGAAAACATATTAAGTAAATCTGGTAAGTAACTAATGAAATAAATTTGAGTGAAGTTTTGTATGGCAGCCATCCAAGGATGGGAATTAAATGCTTCTCATGTTCTTGAGTGCTTTCTTTAATATTAACCTACTCTTTGGCGTATACTTTTATTTTGTCATTCAGGGAACTGTTTCTGCAACCTCCTTAACAACCGTTCCATGCTGGGTTAGCCTGTCGTGCACTCATTATTCTTTTGCCTTTGGTTTGACAAGGTTACATCCTCGCTTGGTGGTGGAGAGGATACCCACCCAAGTGAAAGAGGTCACACTATAAGCAGACAATTGTGCAGTAACTTTTTTTCTATGAGAAACATACTGACTATCTCTAACCAAGTGAATTTGAATGGGTAGTTGGGAAAAAAAAAGGCTCCTTAAAATTCAGGGTTGCATGGGTCCATAACAGTACCCTAGCATATCATAGACTATGTAAAAAAGAGAACACTATTCATTTATGTAAATATTAAAGTAATTGATATTTATTATGTAAATTAATTTCAGAAATAGTGTATTCAAATTAAGGGTGATATACTGAATTGTAGCTACTTCGGTTGAACTGTAGTTTTAATGAGTTAATTGTGTTATATCTCTGTCATGTACAAATAACACAAATTTTCTTTCATAATGCTTGTTGCTAGCAGGAGCGGTTTACACATAAGAATGCTTAGTGATTGGTATCATGTTATTTAATAACAAATAATCATTAAGCAGTAATTGTTGCTTTCTTTTTATGAACCAAAAGTCTTATACTAAAATCTTCTTTAGCATGATGTAATATAGTAAAAGACACTGTTTAAAGTATCTTTTTAGTTTTATGAACAAAAATGCTTTCTAGACACATGTCCTTACATTAGAATATCCTATCTGTGTAAGAAATGTGTGACTAATACGGAAATGCATGACTAAATTTTGAACTTATGGCTAAATATAAAATATGATAAATATAATATTTGTATTAATAACACATTTTATTGATATATAAGTAATCTTTGGAAACAAGGTAGTTTGACAGTTTATATTTTAAATTATCCTCGGACAGCATTTTATGTATTCAGAGTATGTGGAAATGCAGCATTTCTATGATAATATTATATATTCATTTCTGGAAAATGTAGTTCGTAAATTCATACTTAAGTTACTAGGGCTTATGCATGTTTGTAACCAGAACACTAATGAAAATAACAACAATTCCAATAGCACCATTTAAAAGACATATGAACTTTCTAATAAATAAACACTGCAGTAAATGTCGGATTTTACTTAAAACAAAAAAGGTGAAGGTAGCTCGACGGAAGACTATATAAGGAAGGGTTGAGGCTATCTATATTTACAAGGGCCAGGGGCATTATCACAAGTTGCAAGTAGAGGAAAGATTGCAAGCTTTGTACAAAATGTACTGATCACAGAGATGTATGCTCAGCTCATTGTTTTGTGTTACTTTGTTTTATTTATTTATTTATAACTTTATTTTGTTTATGAAAACAAAGATCTCAGTTAACCTTGCTTTAAGCACTTCTAGGAGAAAGGTTGAATGTATAATAGTGATTCCTTCTTACTTTGCTGCCTTCAGCTGATATTATTAATGAGGCAAAACATTAATGATCCGGGAAGAAAATCAGATGTGAATCAGTGCAGCTTCTGCTTTATACTGAAAATTCTTTCTCCATTCTTTCTCACCAGTTGCCTGTGAGCTAATTCATGTTACAGGAACACAGGATGTAGCAGAGCAGACTTCTATTGTAAGAAATTTCATTCAGAGCTTATTGACCAAGGCCCGTTTCCTAAACCAAGGAAGGTCTGGGTGGGGGAAGTGTGCATATTGGAATACGCTACTTTGCATCTCTTCCTTTTCCTGTCACTTTCTTTCTGTTGGTAGCAGTGGGGCTATTGTTTAAGCACATTATTCAGTAATGTTAAATCAAACGGTGTATTTGTTTGATAACGTTACTGGTTGCACAAAACATTATTTGCTGTCATCAAGTCCTCAGTGTTAGAGTGTAAGTAGGTGACATCATACTCTCTTAGTGGATTTGCAAACTAATAGTGGTGATTAAGGTGGATTTTCTATACCTTGGACTCGACTTTTCATTAACCTGTGTGATGGCCTTACTGCCATAGACTTAGCATAAGTAGCACTATTTTATAATGATATATCAATTACCATCCATTGGGACAGAGGTTCCTTCATAATAAAGTTTCAGATAATCACATTTAAAAGTGTTTTAACTTTTCACTTTGAAATGACTTAAAGAAAGGTTGTAAAAATAGTATAGAGAGTTCCCAAATACCCCTAATTTTTTTTTCTGTTTTATTAAGGTAAAATTGACAAAATTGTAATATATTTAAAGTGTACACTGGGATGAATTGATATATGTATACATTGTGAAAGAATTCCCCCCATCAAGTTAATTAACACGTCCATCACCTATTTATGGTGAGAACATTTACTCTCTTAGCCAAGTTCAGTTATATAATACAGTGTTATTAACTATCATCACCATGCTATACATTAGCTCCTCAGACCTTACTCATCTTATATCCCCCAATTTTAACATTATGCACAACCACAGGACAATTATGGAGACCAGGAAATTGACATTGATATAAGTTACTTTGTAGAATGATCCTTTTCAGTGTTGGAGGGTCAGTCTGTCTCTTGTGAGGAAGCATTGCTGTTGATGGCAGTTGCCGGGGAAGCTGCAGCAGTGGCAACTGCTGGGGAGATGGATGAGACAGGGTCAGAGGAGAAGGAAGTTTTCAGGCACAGCTCTCTTCATTTCTTAGGACCACATACTTAGGTCATGACTAAGAGGTTCCATGGCTTCTAAAAGTCCACACAGTGAAGTTTATAGATGCTAGGAAGCCAGGAGGTAGAGCTGTGAAGGTGGGGGAAAAGGCTATAGTTTGTAGTAGGGGTAGAAGGGAAGGAAATAAGGCTAGGGCACAGAATATTCTATATTGAGCCAGCATTCAGTTTTAGAGTAGAAGGTTAGGGTGAGGGAATTCTCATTTAATGAGCACCCCTGTATGTCAGGCCTTGCATTAAGTGCTTTGTGTATGCCATTTTAATTCTCATAACAGTATCTGGAGATAGTTATTATTTTATTTTTGTGGGTGGTAGACATATTTACTTTTTAATTTATTGTTTATTAAGGTAACTGGTTTATAACATTATGTGTTTCATATGTACAACATTATATTGCTACTTCTGTATACACTAAATCTTGTAGACATAGTTATTTTTAATGTGATGAAACTGAGATTTGGCAGGTAAATGGCAAGTAATTGGCAGAGCTAGAATTTGAATCCAGGTCCATTTGACTCTAAATCTCTATTGCCTGATATAGTAGGCATATGTGGCTATTGAGCACTTGAAGCGTGGCTACTGACACTTGTTAAAATGTTAATATTTTGGATATATTCAGTCAAATAAAATATATTATTATAGTTAATCTCACCTGTTTCTTTTTCCTTTTTTAATGTGGCTCGTAGAAAATTTGAAATTACCTATGTGACACAAATTACGTTTCAGTTGGACAAATTCTGTGTCTAAACCTTTTTCCGTTGTACACTGCTGCTTTCCTGGAGTGTGTCTAAGGTGAACTAAGATGAGATCCTAAAGTCTGAGGTGGAAAAATACTAATGTATCTCCTGTGAAGCAAAGCAGACTCCCAAAGACAGGAAAACACTGTGTTGGTGAGAGTGTTGGGATGATCAAGTCCAAAGGCAAAGGGAAAAAGACATGCAATCTACAAAGAGAAAAAGAAGTAACCACAATATTTTTTTTCTTGTAGTACTGAAGTCCCTTTATTTTTAAAAAATTATTTATTCTTTACTGAAGTATAGTTGATTTACAATATTGTGTTAGTTTCAGGTACACAGCACAGTGATCCAGATTATTTTCCACTACAGGTTATTACAAGATACTGAATATTGTTCCCTGTGCTATATAGTAAATCCTTGTTGCTTACCTATTTTATGTATACAGTTTGTATCTATTAATCCCATACTCCTAATTTATTCCTTTCCACCTCCTTTTCCCCTTTAGTAACCATGTTTGTTTTGTATGTCTGTGAATCTGTTTGTTTTGCATATGTTCATTTGTATTATTTTTTAGATTCCACATGTAAGTGATATCATATAATATTTGTCTTTCTCTGACAACTTCACTCAGTGTGATATTTTCTAGGTCCATCCATGTTGCTGCAAATGGCAATATTTCATTCTTTTTTATGGCTGAGTAATATTCCATTGTGTGTATATGTGTGTGTGTGTGTGTGTGTGTATCTTTCTACTCACATCTTCTTACGTATATCTCACCAGTTGTCTCTTGATGGGCATTTGGATTGCTTCCATGTCTTGGCTATTGTAAATAGTGTTGCTATGAACATTGGGGTGCATGTATCTTTTTGAATTAGAGTTTTTGTCTTTTCCAGATATATGCCCAGGAGTGGGATTGCTGAATCATATGGTAGCTCTATTTTTAGTTTTTAAGGAGCCTCCATATTGTTTTGCATAGTGAGTACACCAATTTACATTCCCACCCACAGTGTAGGAGGGTTCCGTTTTCTCCACACCCTCTCCAGCATTTATTGTTTGTAGACTTTTTGTTGATAGCCATTTTGATTGGTATGAGGTGATACCTCATTGTAGTTTTGATTTGCATTTCTCTAATAATTAGTGATGTTGAGCATCTTTTCATGTGCCTCACAACAGTCTTTAATATTTACTGACTTTATCATTTTTCAGTCACTGGGCTTAGTTCTACATTCATTTTTATGTAATCCTCATTAAAATAAACCCCAGTAAAGTAGGTACCGTTGTTATTCCTATTTTATAGATGAGAACACTGAGGTACAGAGAGGTTAACTAACTTGCTTGTGAACGTACAGTTGGCTGGTAAATGGAAGAGCGAAGGTTTGAAGGGCTTCCCATCAAATCCAGTGTTCTTTACTGTCAATCTATAAAGCCTCTGTATACTGTGTTGATGGTTTGGTTGAGGATACTTATTCTTAGTAAAGAAGTCATGCAGACCCTTGTATCTCTACATCTATCAGATTATCCCCATTTCTGTAATGAAATTTCTTATACAGTGGTTCCTGAAATGTCTCTTTATTAATAGCAATAATAGTTTATTACAAACATACAGTCTGCATACAGTTTTGACAGCTGGTTTGCAACATGCTAGACTAATTGCCATTTTCTGACTGTGATGGCTACATCTGTAGCAGTAAATATGAGCAAAGAGTTATGAAGAATTGAGCCAGGGAAATAGATGAAATAGAATAGAGCCCTTGGGGGTAGGGGAAAGGTGCTAGTTCCTTTGTGTCTTGAGTGCTTATAAATCTTTAAAGGTCCCTTGACCCACCAAGGGAAATTAATTGCAGTCTGCTAAAATACGAAATTCATGTTTTGAAACAAATGCCCAGGGCAATGATAATAATGAATAATGACCTATAATTGTATTAAAAGCCAGTTAATCTGTTGAGCTGGGAGAACATAATTGTGATTACTAGTGTGATACTAGTCTATCTATACTTATTCCTAGTTTTTTTTGGTTTAGAGCCAAATTTTTTTTTTTTGAGTTTGTAGTTAATATCATACATTTCAGGAACACAAATTTAGAAATAACATGACTTTCAAAGAAAGGTTCTATAGGTAGGAAGAAGTGCCTAGGTTTTTGCTTTTTGTCTTTAATTAATTGATAGTAAAAATGCTGGAGAGTGAAATCCTGGGCTGCAATTTGTTTTGATGAGAGATTTAGTTTTTGGCACTTTCAATTACACATAATACTTTGCATTCATTACAAAGTATATTGACAAATAACACTTAAAAAATGAGATAGTGTAAGTATTGTTGCTATTGTCTGATATAGATTAAACTGATTTTATAAATACTCTTCAGAGGCATACAGAAAGTTGGTGCCCTTAAGGTAGTCCTTGAAAGCAATTTCCTTTCTTAAGTAGGATAAACTGCCTTCACAATTTTTATACATTTAATTATACAATAAAACATTTTCTTAGTTCAGGCTCAAATTATAGCATAGAAATGTTTCAGTGATCATAAATTTCAATTTTGAATTATTGAGATTTTATGGCAATGTAACTATAGGAGATATCCATAGCTTCTGCTCAACCCATTTCATAAATCTTACATGCTTTGAGAGCTGACTAGAAGTTGTCAAAGAACAAAGTTATACATGCAGCATTCTTTGAAATAGTGGGTACTTACGTAACTTATTGTGAAAAAAATCCAGTCTCTGTGAACAGTTACCCTATTTAAAAAAAAAGTGCAAGACAGCATTTACAATGAAGGTGCTCCCAAATGCTCCCAAATACACCTTATATATTATACATAAGGAGTCAGCTTGAACTATTAAGGAGTAACATTTGAATATAAGTTGAAATAATAATTCTAACAGAAATAATTGAAAAATTTAAGAAGTAAATGGTTTAGCTTTCAAGCAGAAGATAAAACACAGAAAAGTAAACTATCCCATAGGTATGTCAACCTGTCTTTAATACTTTTGGAATCAGTAAGATATGGATGCATACATAAAGCGAGGCCATTAAGATCACCATCTGATCTCCACTTTCAGGTATGAAAGATTAGTTTATTTCAAGCTAAGGCCCATACTGAAAAAATGAGAAAGCTATATTAAAAAGAGTATCTACAGGCATCGTAGTACTACCAAAGGGCAAAGATCCCAGAGTGAAGAGAAACACACTGAGGTGAGCCCTGTATTCAGTGCCACTTTTCACCTTGGGTTATTTGTCACTTAATGACAATACGGGTTATGAGGCTGAGAAGCCAAGCAGCAGCAGCTAAGATGGGAGACGCTGAGTGTAATTTTTGGCAGTTTCACATTGCTAAGAGGTCACAAACTAGAATTCAGGGAGGAAGATGCAGGACCCTGGTAAAACACTCTACACTTTTAATTGGGACCCCTGAAGGGCTACATCCTAGGAGTTACAGAGAACTAGAAATAGACTATTAAGTTACAAAAATTGAAATGCAGCCTCTGATAAACTCAATTGATTTTAAGGTGATCTGCCTTTACTTTAACTCTCTGTCATTGCCAGAAACAAGAGACATCATGCAGAGTTTCTATAAGTTTTAAACACAGTACCTGACATTCTATAAAAATAAACCATGCCTATCGCAAGCCAGGACCAAGATTAAAAAAATATAAAACAACAATCATTAGAAACATTCTCATAGTGTTCTAGCTCTTGGAATTATCAGACATGGGCTATAAAATAATTATAATCAATATATTAAAAAATTGATGAAAAGATGGATTTCATTAGAGAATCAGAATCTAGAAAAAGAATTGAAAGGAATTCTAGAAATGAAAACTAGTATAACTGAAGTGAAGGACTCAGTAGATGAGTTTAACAGCAAATTAGACACAGCTGTGGGGAGGATCGTGAACTGGTTGATAGGTCAGTTAGAAAATATCTAGGCCATGGGTGAGGGGAATAGCCTGAATAAATAAAGGCTAAGAATTTTGTAGAACTCATGAAAGATATCAACCTACAGAATCAAGAAGTACTACAAATCCTATCAGGATAACTACAGTGAAAAACCACAATTAGGGCACAGGGTAGGTAGTCAAACCACTGAAAACCAAAAAAAAGAGAAACCTCTTAAAAGGAAAAAAAAGATATTACTTCAAAGAAGCAAAAATAATAGCCGACTTTTCAACTGGGGGGATACAGGAGAGAACTGAATGACATCTTTAAAGTGCTAAAGGAGAAAAAAAAATCCCAACCTAGAATTTTGTACCTATTGGAACTATTCTGCAAAAACGAAAGAGAAATATACTCTTTTTCAAACAAACCCTCAGTACATGCTCCATTGTCTATAGGACTTTACTTACAAAACAAAGTATTAAGAATTTCAAGATAGCACCTGAAGAGCATTAATTAAGCCCCAAGTGTGGGGCTTTTCTGAGTCCAGGCCCATGGGTGATTGCACTGGTTATGTCCCT